GATGTGGGGCTCGATCCCAGGACCCTGGGACCATGACTGGAGCCGAAGGCAGACGCCCAACGACTGAGCCACCCAGGCGCCCCTGAGAATGCCTTTTTGATGAGGTCCGCATTAGAGCAGGATTCTGGGGGTTCCAGGCAGAAGGAACAGCTGGGCCATGCCCTTGTGGCAGGTGTTTGTTGAAGTGCCCTGGGACTGGCAGGGGGCCATTGTGCCAGCAGGGATGCATCTGAGAGGGACGTTGGTAGGGGATGACGTCCGAGGGGTAGCCAGAGCCCAGACGATGTCTTACAGGACAAGGTAAGGGCTTTGATTCTGCTTTAGGTGAGATGGACAACTGTTAATGGATTTCCACAAAAGAATGTTTTAAAAGAATTTCTCTGGCTACTGTCCAGAGAAAATCAGAGATGGGCCTGAAGGTAGTTGACGAAAGTAGAAGCAGAGACAGTGTGCAGGGCTGGCTCCCCCAGAGCACCGCCAGAGTTACCCACTGATATGGCAGATTTTAATTTATTGCTCACCCTGACAGTCTGAGTAGTGCCACGGAGGGAGGTGAACAAAGGTTATTTATAGGATCTGAGGGCATGGTTTCAGGTATATTTTTAACACAGGAGCTTGATAACCATTGAGTAAAGACCATAATATAATAGTTTAGGATGTGTGGACACAACAAGGATTGAAGAGTCTTGGAGAATAAGTTTATTATTTGTTGGAAAGTTGAACAGTTTGTTTAAAAGGTTTTGGGGAAAGATTCTGAACAGTAAAATTACTTGCAACCTTCCTTCCCGGGCGAGTTTCCTGGAGTAGTAAAGTCTTGTTATGAAGACAGAATACTAGTCAGGTTAACGTAGATAGTGGGCTGTGTGGGTGTGGACGGTTTCAGCTCTCAGTGGAGCAGACATGCTTGCAGTGGTTCAGATGAAAAGTGATGGGGGCTTCGAGTTCTGAGCTGGTGCAGGTGAGGAGGTGGGGCTGCATGTGTAGAGAGGAGGATCTGCCACTGAGTCAGATGTGGCCTGTGAGAGAGGGACGAGGCAAGGATTTCGTCAGAGCAACATCGTAATGGGGGTGGGAGGTGTTTACCGACATGGGAGATTGGGGAGGAGCGGTTTGGGGGAAGTTTAAAATTTAACATCTAATAATTCTAAAATCTGAAGTCCTTTATATTTTAATTCTATTCTGATAGCCAGTCCCTGCTTTAGTTCTAGGCTTCTTAAACAAATCAGTCCTCAGAAGCAGTCTTCTGCTGTATTACATTTCACCATTTCTTGACTGAAGTTCATTTGCTAGTAGGTTCTTTTTTTTTTTTTTAAAGATTTATTTATTTATTTATTTGAGAGAGAGAGTACATGAGAGGAGGAGGGCCAGAGGGAGAAGCAGACTCCCCGCTGAGCAGGGAGCCCGATGCGGG